AGAGGAGAGAGAGAGAGAGAGAGAGAGAGAGAGAGAGAGAGAGAGAGAGAGAGAGAGAGAGAGAGAGAGAGAGAGAGAGAGAGAGAGAGAGAGAGAGAGAGAGAGAGAGACAGAGAGAGACAGAGAGAGAGAGAGATAGAGATGGGTTGTTTCTAATCCAACCTTTGGTTAGGGAACTACGGTTTGTGAAAAAATGATAGTTACCCGTCCTCTTTATGCGAAAGAATGATTAAATGTGAGGGGTCCGTAGAAGCGGTAATGATATACCGTGTTGTAACCATTCCCTATTCCGCTCCATTCTGTATTGTGTCCGTGGTGGGCGGGCCAGTGCTGATGGAGCCACACTCGATGTACTGCGGCGCCGAGCTTTCTTTTACTATCTATTCGCCAGAGTGTATGCAGTTGGGGCCTTTCCAATAAATTAAGAAAACGGCTTCAAACCGGTATTTCACAGGTCATGCCCCCGAGCTGTTTTCAGCAAAACGTAGCATTTTTGTATTTGTTTTGTTTAATTCTGGGAGGCGCAAAACATTCTGAAGTTAGTCTCCAAATCATCCCAGGAGTGATATTCCCGCGGCGATTTTTGACCGTGAACGCCGTTTATTTGCCGTCATTCGCAACAGATGCAGTCATTTGCAATTTGCAATACAATAACGCATTGGCTTTTCAAGATCAGATTCGCGATGCGTTGTATTTCAGTTACGCACTGAGAACATGTAAGGATATACCATAAACAGAACATAATTTGAGGATTTTTCGCGATGTTATATTTGCTCGGTATGCACATCCAGCGCACGTTGGTAGATGATGATACGCTGGTTTATAGTCAAAGAAACATGGGCAGCTGTTCTGGCAAGGCAGATAAGAGGGAGATCGTGCGGGTGGGAAGGGAAAGGACACCTGTGCAGTCGTCGTAAGTGGCACGAAACGTTAATTATTACCACTGTTAATGGTTGAATTAACTAGTTATGGCCTCATACAGATTCTAGGAGGTTTCATAAATCCGCAATAACCCTGAATTGGTGATGGTAATTTTAGCGCAAGTAAAGTGAAGCAATTTAGAAGTAAGCGCAATTTGATTCCTGGGATATAAATTACGGTTATATGAGGCATAGCAGCAAGCACTCTGGCATGCAGAAACGCACCATGATTTGGAAGCAAAATCGACTCGCGGCAGGAAAACGTGCACTTAGGGAGGTAAAGCGACAACGCTTAGTCCTGGCAGTCGACGTCGGACCGTGCATGCGATAAGATAATGCAAGCACACGAAGCATTCCAACGCGCGAATATTAGCATGCACTCTGGCATTCTGTACGTCGTCTGCAGCAATTTCATCATGTTCAAGGTGACAGCAATGGACTAAAATAGAATACAGCGCTGTTTCCAAAACCAGACGTGCATGCAACTGCATTACGCGTGCATGCCAACTAAAGCTGCTCGTTTTTATGTGGAATACCCACGTCCACCCCGCACCCATTTTTGAAGGTTTGCATCCGCCCCACAAAACAGGAGTCCCAAAAAACCCTACATTGTCCAGCCAACATTGTGTTTTTTTTTCATTCAAGTTACACTCGCCCAACGTCATAATATTTCACTGCCAAAATAAGAAGCTGTAAGTCACGTTAAATCATGTTCGTCCCTTCTTTCATGTCGTCATTGCTAACGGCAAGAGATCTTCTATCAATTCCATAGAACTCATATTTGGTATTCATCCTATGTGTACGTTACATCTCAAACGAAAAGGGTGCATGGATTTCCTGACGTAGACTATGTCTCTCCCATGTTTTTCACACAGTTTTTTTGTGGCTGCAAGGCACATTGCATGGTGTTAAAAATAACACGGGGAATGCCTCTTTCGATGGCCATTTTTGGCAAAACACGCTCGGGCTGAAATCCAGGGAGGTATGGACCCTATACCACTTTTAAAGCTAGCAGTCATCTGCAGAGTACGGGACCATTCAGATGAGAAAACGAGTGAATCTATTCTTATAAAAGGTCGGCGATCAGACCTTAACGTACAGGGCTCATTGTGGCCGATTATGCGAATGCGCTAAATGCATTGCTGTGTGATGCCTGGTAACTTAAAATCGTTGACATGTATGAGTGATGTCTGACGCGAGATGCGCGATAACTGTTTCATTAAAGTCGTTCGTATGCACAATTTATGCGTGATTTGTGATCCCCGTTTACTTCAAATCGCTTGCATGTTCTAAAGAAGCGTGTGGTGTGATGCCTGTTAACATAAATTCATTTGCATGTGCACGTATTTTTCGTGTCTTCTAGCTCATAGTTATGCGCTGTATCGTAGTAATGGCTCGCAATTGCCCCTTGTTTAATGCCCAAATATTGGTGACCTGTAAAAACTGTGGCTTGTTGTTTCAAAGAAGCTGAAAAATCAAGTACGATTGGCAGGCAAGTTTGAAGTTACTAGACATATTAATTTCAATGAAAACATGTTACAGAAATTTTAGTGCACTTATCTCTCATTCTCCCGGTTTTTCTTCGAAGAGTAGGGCTATGACTAACGCCTTAGCTTAGCATTAAACGGAATTATTAAATTATACGCGTTTCAAGATATGGGACTAGGATTCATTTTGGGGAGACTGATCAAGAATCAACATACGCGATCAGCTTGGTCCCAGGCATAAATTATCTTTGCTGAGGACAAAATACTCTTGGGTCCTTCAAAAGGCTCTTCAAAAGAAACCAGCAGTCTATATCCTGAGATGCAATAAACAAAACAGCTCCAACCAGTATAAGAATGCAAATATCAAGGCTGAATGCGATGCATTATATCCAACTAGCTATCTATGATCTATGCGTGGTACATACATTTGGAACTGCAAATTTTCTCCACTAAAGCCAGCTGCAATTATCTCTTCTAGACAAAATGACGCTTAATCTGCGAGCCCCCCCCCCCCCCCCTCCCTAACCCTCAATAGCAAAACCCTCTAATCTTCGTGTCTTGTAGAAGAATACGACCTTTTTCACGACCACGTAAGTACGTCATGAAAGGCCATCTTGCGCATCCGAGCCTCTCGAACAGCTACCGACTAACCTTCAGCGCCGATTTCGTCCTTGAATGCGGCTTAGTTTGAAACTTTGCTGGAACACTGAGATCGTAAGGAAATCGGAATATTTTGCGATTTTTCTCCTGGCTAAATACCAAATCAAAGTGCGCATATAGCAGAAAGCAATACTTGTATTGCTATGCAAACTTGCGTAATTTGCAGACAAAGTTTGAGCTGCAGGGAAGTGGAATGCTTTGCTGTTATGCCATTTTACTTTGTATTAGAGTTGTAGTGGAGAGTCATGCTTTCAATCTATTCGAGGCATTGGGTGGTGATCGATATTTGAACATGTTCTGTGTAGTTGCATCCATCAGATGGGCATACAAGACATTGAGTGTTTACATGTGACCTGTGTTCTATGTGGCCTGTGATCTACTTGGCAAATGGTGTGCAAAATCCAGAAGTGTAATTATTTTTTATTAGTTATAGGGTGGGCTGTGGAGGGATAAATGGCTCAACTTAAACTAGCTGAGGGCTGGGGCTGGAACCCACTAACTGAACAGGAAGATGGCATGGCAGAATATGCCACTGATGTGGGGGTTATCACAGAATTGCTTTGGTGGTGTTAAGATTTTATCATCTCATTATGAATTGTTAACCTGACTGCTCGACGGACGGTTTAACATTAATTGAGCCATGGCAGCTCATTTTTGAGGCAACAGCATGTCATGGATTATACGTTCATGAAATGGCATCCGTGATATTGCTGTGAATATCCATGACAAAATGCTACTTCTCTATGTTATTATGTACATGAAAACAAGTAACCTCTTCTCCATTGACATTTATCTCCAAGAAATGCTAGTTAATTGTACATAAATTTCGGTTGTGAAAACACAAATGCAAAGATTATATATATATATATATATATATATATATATACATAGTATCCCGCCAATACCCACGATGTGGTGAGCAATGCCGCTAAAAGCTGTATGGATTTTTTAAGGCCTGCATCTTGCGGGTTTGCGGGCTCAAAGTGGCAGCACTAACGCCAGCCCAACGACCACATTGCTCTGGCACTGACAGCCGTACCGGTTCATCATGTTGACGTGAAGCGCGTAGAGCGGCTTGTCTGCCGGATCGGCGTGCTTGGACGCCGAGTGGGTGTCGATCAGAAACGCCCCGAACGTGTGCGGCAGCACGGGCACGGCCAGCAGGCCGGCAATGTCCGCTGAAATACGCCGGCACACGTCACTTGAGAGCAGGCCGGCCGACTGCCTGGGCAGCAGAAGCCTCTGACGCCATGCCCTCCACACGCTGCACCACCTGCACGATTCATCATGAGAGCAGGCCGGCCCACTGCCTGGGCAGCAGGAACCTCTGATGCCAAGCCCTCCATCCACACGCTGCGCCACCTGCGCGGTGTATCATGAGAGCAGGCCGGCCCACTGCCTGGGGCAGCGGAAACCTCTGATGCCATGACCCTCCATCCACACGCTGCGCCACCTGCACGGTGTATCATGAGAGCAGGCCGGCCCACTGCCTGGGCAACAGAAACCTCTGATGCCACGCCCTTCATCCACACGCTGCGCCAACTGCACGATGTATCATGAGAGGCCGGACGTGCGGAGGTGCTTGTACGTCAAATAAGACCAGCACGGCGTCGAGAGATGGGAAGGTGTGGTGGTCGAGCGACGCGAGCGCGGAGCTGCACGCCGCCCAGCTGGAACATTACAGACTCACAAATCACCTTTGCTGACGTCGCCTTGGGAACGTAAATAACTTTTTGAAAGATAAAACTATTTTTTATATTTAAATATTATCTTCGTGTAATGTCGTTGCTGAAATCTTCATGAGAAAAGACTGGTCTGATTGGTTTACAGGTTGGTGATATTATAGCGGGGTGATTGTTTACCACACCGTGAACATCCTATAAGCGGGGTAATTGTTTACCACACCGCGAACATCCTGCAACTGAAAGGTACCACTTCACGGCGCACGCAGGGGCATCAGAACGCAGTAAATTGATGTGGCGTTACCGAGATAAAAAGAAATGAATTATGCAGATCACGCCAGCACAGGGATGATCGCGCAGATTGTCCACAGCCTTCGTGACCGAGCAAGATCGTCGATACACAGTGTCCATGCACAGTGGATTAACTTGGCAACCACTGTCAGGGGTGGTAAAAGTGTACTTTTTGTCGCCGACGAAAGTTTTGGAGAAAAATTGTCGCCAGTAGCGTAATGCGATACCATATGACAAACGAGTCATAAGTACATTGCCAGTAGCGTCATCAGCAGTCAGCCTTTCACGGAAGTCTCTTTCCATCACTGCAATTTTTTCAACATCATGGACATAACCGAAACGCTCAGCCATACACTGCCCCTGAACAAATGGCAGGTTGTAAGTGCTGCTGCTAGAAAGCAGGCGCACCTGACTTAGATTAAGGACATAGCCCAATCACAACAGGAATTTTCTTCCACTCTCGGAATTGCCGGGGCCTCCACGTTTAACACGCGCTCGTGTGGGGGGTCAATTTAACCCCCTCCCTGAAGGTTTTTCCAAAATGGTTTTCCGAACGGCACGGCGTATCCGGGCCAAATTTGCATAGCTGTAGATGATTAAATAGCGAAGCGTTTGGCGTTAAAAAATTTAGATGTGCCTTGTAAGATCGCTTACCCATGGCAGGTCAAAAATCAGATCATGTCTCGGCGAGGCAATTTCTAGGGCATCCTTCAATCTGACCCACAGCGAGTGTTAGATTGAAGCCTACATCTTTGAGATGCTTTCTTAGGCAACACAGCAGTTCATGTGAGCAAAATTAAATTGACCTAATGTCAGGTATAAAGGTCACACCAAGGTGAAAACACCTATTTTTGTTACTCTATTTGTTACTATTTGTTTTTTTTACTTTTTTATTACTACTCTATTTGTTACTAGTTACTATTTGCTACTCTAGTATAATATATATATATATATATATATATATATATAATATATATATATATATATAAACAGTAACAATAGAGTAGTAAATAAAAAAGTAAAAAAAAACAATAGCAACAAATAGAGTAACAAAATAGGTTGTGTTTTCACCTTGGTGTGACCTTTATACCTGACATTAGGTCAACTTAATTTGCTCACTGAACTGTTGTGTTGCCTAAGAAAGCATCTCAAAGATGCATGGCTTCATCATTATATATATATATATATATATATATATATATATATATATATATATATATATAGAGTGCGTAGTGTGTAGTGTGCAGTGTGCAGTGTGCAGTGTGCAGTGTGCAGTGTGCAGTGTGTGTGTGTTGTGTGTGTGTGTGTGTGTGTGTGGTGTGTGTGTGTGGCGTGTATGGAAAACATACAAATGCACTGACCTTGAACGATGACGTCATTATTAAGGTAGATTACTTTTCCTGTGACTGAGCTGGGCAGAATGTCGGCAAGGAAGACCTCAGCGGAGGAGACGTCATGGTCTGTCAGCTTTAGCAGATCCTCGGGGAATACCAGAATCTGGTATCGAAGACGGTCGTTCGGGATCTCTCTGAGCCAAGCTCTGCAACACAGCAAGTTTATTGCGTCGCTGTAAATGACAGGATTGGTTTCTGCATCGGCAACGTGAGCTGGTTGCATGATGACTCTGTAAGGGATAAAAATTCCGGTATGAAGCATCGGTCCCGCGAGTAGTTGCTGAATATTTGTTTGCGAGGAATAATATGTGACTACTGACAGCATTATAATATCAAGAGCAGCCGGAAAACACATGCAGTCTATCTAACGCATTGCATCGAATATACGAGCTTAGATGCTTGGAACTCACAGAACATGCAGAGCATGCCATACGACAGATCTTCATTAACGATCCATTCACCTCCGAACCAGTAAACGACAGACTCTTCGGCTGACAATAGCGGTGTCAACCTCCGTCAATGCCTCCGGCACCCCCGTGTCATCCTTCCGCCATGCCGTCGCACCTGAGATGGGCGACGGCTGACTCCTGCACCACCAGGTGGAACCAGACCGAGTGGTTGGTGTGGCAGTAGCACCGAGTTCACCCGTGGCCACCGTGCCGGCCAGCGAGTCCGTGCCTCCGGCACCACCACCTCGATGATAGCTGCCTGTCAAACACGGGCCGGCGTACGAGTCCACTGCGTCTCGCCCTGTGGCGGTCACCTGGCAGCTCGGCTGCAGTCCGGCTGGCGCCCTGAATGGTCCCAGACTCGGAAGGCGCGCTAATACACGCCCTTGAGATGTGATGCATAAGAGCAAGACTTCGCCACGTTGATGTTCATATGCTAAGTGATGATAAGTGATATTTTGCGCTTGCGTGCCACCAAAACAAATGGAGGTGAGTGACACAGGCACAAGTTGCCCTTAGGAGAGAACCTGTTACGGCTGTACAGCGCAGGATGGTGGGTAAACAGTTGGCTTCTGTTGATACAGCGACGTTGCCTGAGCGGCGCCATCAATTACCTGACATCGAACCTCTTGTGTTTGAGCTCCCCGCGTGGGTCATGTACAGCTGGTTGACATGGCTGTCTGACGCCCGTGTGATCTGCAATTTGTTTATGCCAACATCATCACACTTTGTCCGTCATTGCAACACAAATGCTAGCTAAGAGTCCTGACATGGTCTTGGGAATCGAATACGATGTCATGAGTAATAGCGGATGCGGTATGAATATAGAACAGGATAAGTAGCATTTGTGTCCAATCCACCAGCCACAGTCAGTACTTAAGAGGAAGACATCCTTCACACGACGGACAATAGCACCAGGCTGGGGCACGTCCCCCCACCCCTTCCCCCCTTCCCCCTTAGGTTGTGAGGGGCCTTTGGGCACCTCGGGACCCACAATAAGGGCCGATTTGAGTGCCCGAAGGGCCCGAAAGGCCGGCGGAGGGTGGTATTCAGGAGCCCACCCGCAGGTCCGGGCACTTCAATGTCATCCAATGTCATCCAGAGGGCTCGTTGATCAGGAGCCCCCTGAATTTGGTAAAGGCCTGTATATCGGTCAGACACCACCAATAACCCACAGTCGGCTTCCATGTCGGCACGGGCCCTAAGGACCCATCGCACAAGCAGGGACATGGCAGGAGCCAGCGATTGACATTGGTAGGGGTTCCAGGGTTTCTGAGTGGAAGCCCACAATGCCTAATAGGGGGCCCTGTGTTGGCAAGGGTTCCGAGTGGACCAGAGGCAGTGTTCAAGGAGGCCTGAACAGCCCGTAGGGCCCGCTGGGTCCGACGATCAGGGGCTCGATCGGAGGGTCTGATAGCACGAATGGCTGGTCTGAGTCTTATTAAAGGGCCCCGGCCTGAGGAGACGGACTCCCAAATGACAGTCAGAGGGCCCTTTGCGCTTACTAGGGACCCCCTGAGTCGATATGGCCCATTTGTCGGTCAGGCACCACCAGTATCGCACAGTCAGCTCCGTGTCAGTATGGGCCTGATGGGCACTTCCCTACCAGATACAAAGCCGGGGCCAGCGATGTATACTGGTTAGGGTCCCTGTATCTTGTCAGGTGCCAAAGTACCAAAAGAGGGTCCTGTGTCCATAAAGGGCCCCGAGCCGAACAAGGGATGAGGATGAAGAGGGGTCCGGGGTCCGGTTCACGATGTTCGATGAGGCCCGAAGAGGGTCTGGGCGGCCCGGCGATCTGGGGCTCAGCTGGAGGGCATAAGGGCCCGAAGGACTGGGTGCAGGTCACATACAGGATCGCGGGCCATGGGGCCGTGATCTGAAATATCAGTCAGAGGTCCTCTTGCACCTTTTGAGGACCCTCCAAGACAATGGGGGTGTCTCGGTCGGCAGGAGACGACGAACATCGAACAGTTGGTTCCCTCTCAGTCTGAACTCTGGGGCCCCATTTCCCAAGCAGGAGGAAGGCTGCGGGTCACGACTTGCATTGGTCTGGGTCCCTGAAACAATGGTTGGGACCCTGCGTCGGCCAGGGATCCACATTGCCTAACAGGGAGTCATGTGTCGGCCAGTGACCCTGAGTCGGTCACAGGCTTTGTTTCAGGAGGTCCGAAGAGGGGCTGAAGGCCCCCTCGGAACGAAAGGTCAAAGGCCTGGTTGGAAAGGCTGAGGGGCCCAAAAGGACTGGCTGCAGGTACATTAAGGACCCCCGCCCGTAGAGCCGTGATTTAAAATGACAGTTAAAGGTTTTCTTGTAACCGATTTTGGGCCACTGATATACATCGTTCCTTTCTTTTGGCCAGAGATCAGCAACACGGAGCAGTCGGCTCCGTGCCGGTCTGAGCTCTGGCGGCCGATTTCCATAAGCAGGTACAAGGCAGGGCCCGTGATTTGCATTGGTCGAGCCCCTGGAACATGCAGGGCTCCTCATTCGTTCGGGGGTCGTTGCCCAACAGGATGTTCAGTGTTAACAAGTAGCCTTGAGTTGGTTAGAAAGATCAATTTGCCAAACAGAATGAAGATCTGACCCCGGGGTGACAGAGGACCTCCTGCGTTAGTTGGGGCTCTTTGACGTAAAACGAAACATTCTAACTTATGATGGTGTACCACGATGGGACATGGAACGGCCCTTCCCAGTACGGCCCCCAATCTTGAACAGCGTGCCCTCCGACCTAATTCCAGAATGGGCTTGCTAAGCCGAGTCCATGCGCCAATCCTTGAACCACCTGCGGCAATCAGGGATGTTGTTGGGTCAACGAGAATTCTTGTGTCGATCTGAGGCCAACTGTGCGGGTCAGAAGGCGTCTGGGAAAAGACCCACGTGATGTGATGTATCCCCCTAAGGGCCTCCAGACCGACCAGGAGACCCCGTCCCGTGTCCCCAACATGACAGCCGGAAGACACCCCGCGGTGAAACGGAATAGCCCTCCAGCTCCTGGCCTGAACAAAAATGTGGCGCTAATGTTCCACTCACGACGCCCCTTTGTCCTAAAGGAAACAAGGGGTCTCATTTGTGTGGAAAAGAGTGGTTTAAAATGAGTTGAAAAACGAACAAGGCCATCCCATGTTTGTCTGACAACAGTCATTCTTTTGCAGAATCGATAGGTGGAACACCTGGCATGAAAAGATTTGAGTCTTTGCGTCCGAAATCTCGAGAGCAAGGACAGCGATGGTCTGAGTTACAGTTCCCGTAAAACCGAAAGACGTTGGCCACTGCAATTAACACCAAAGGGCAGACGCAACGCAGCCTATGAAGCCTGTAAGGCCTGGCGTCGAGGTTTTTGTTACCAAGATTTGCGAGCATGCGAATTCAAAATTAGGCATATAATTAGCATCGCTATTCGATTGTGGGTGATGAACATGTCCAGACAAATATGGCTTGGCCAAGTTAATACATGTTGTTCACCCATTTGTATCCACAATTGACATGCGTGGGGTCCCTAATAACTCCGTGAAGACCAGATAAAAATTCTGACGAAGCTTCTTTCTTTAGTTCATTAACCATAAAATTTGGTCAGAATTTATATCGTGGTAGCTTCTGGCTTCTATTCCAGTTATAGAAGCAAAAAAATGGAAGAATATCAATTAGTTGCACGCCTATATTCACAAATGGCCTTCATCCGGCGAATTTTGTTCGGGGCGAGGCCCTTCCCACGATCAGGGTGCTTTTCTGTCAATTCTGTGTCCCACCCCTTGGCTGGGCTCCGGCTTGCGTGCCTGATGACGAGATAACGTCATTTAAACGACAGTTAACCGGAACTTACGTGACGAGATTGCCTCATTTGATATACAACCAATCGGAACTTTAAACTGCCGAGTGCCCCTGAGACCACTGGAAAAAACGATTTTGTGACGGAATTAACGGGTGATTTTGCAACGAACAGGGTTGATATGGAGGAAACATGTGGACACTCTGCTGCCGCTGCGGCCCTCACCTCAGGGCGTTGGGCGAGAACCAGCTGCACGTGGCGCAAGCCGAACAGCGTCCGCGTCAGCACGAAAATGGCGATGATGCACAGCAGCGAGACCAGTAGCATGTAACACTGCAACGCCAAATCGTGCTCGGCGGGGCCTCGAGACAGCTCGCAGACAGCCTTTGGACTATTTGCACAATCACAGACCTGGTCTGCTCATAGTTGGCTCATGAACTCATACTTCTCAGCCACATTATGCTTTTTCTAACAGCTTAAAACCAGCTCCTGAACGCACGTCCATAGCTCCCATGGCTTCCTACCTGGACCGAACTTACGACTTGGCTCTTGCTTTTTAGTCTGGGGCAGTGTATATATATATATATATATATATATATATATATATATACCGTGATATTATCTACTTCTCAGCTTACAGCCGTCTAAACTGAGCACGAACCAAAGCAACTTAGTCGATTATAACACGCTGTGAGATAGGTTGAAACTCAGTCACAACCACCCAGACATTCACATGTAAATGCGCCGTGTGTCTGTCTCAGAGCGGCGCTCTTAGCGAGTTAACCTATCACATACTGGTACACTGTTGATGCGCTTAAGAGGAATATGATGGGCAGTCCCGTATCCATTCACGCTTGTCGTTCAGCTCAGGCCGGCCTGCGGGCTACTCAGAAATCAATCGCCGGTGACTTAGCGGCGTGTCAACAGACCATGTGACGCTGCTGGCCGAGCTGTGCAGATAAGTGACCCTCTTGACCAACCCGAATACCCACTTAGTGGAGCAGCCATCAGTCTGCACGCGACTTGCCGCAGCCACAGCCGCAGAGATGATCACACCCTGGCGCTGACCGGCCCGCCCTCTAGACTCCCACCATTCTCTCACCCACTGTTCTGCCAGAGCCATCACGGAGGCGAAACATGGCCAATCTGGCCTGACGATGTCTTGCGTGACTGCAAAGCACCCCGTCCACTGCGAGGCGTTTGGTCCGGCTGGGAAGCGCATGGCACGGTTTGCAAAGCGCGTGGTCCGGCTTCGCTGCGCCTGGTCCGGTTTCGGTTCGCCTGGTCCGGCTTCGCTGCGCGTGGTCCGGTTTCGCTGCGCCTGGTCTGGCTTCGCTGCGCCTGTCCCGGCCGCGCTGCGCCTGTCCCGGCCGCGCTGCGCCTGGTCCGGCTTCGCTGCGCCTGGCCCGGCCCGGTGACGCTTTTGTCCGATTACGGCAGGCACTCGCGTGGCGAGGGAGGGAGACGGGCGACGACTGACTCGCGCACTGCGCCGTTTGGCGGTGGCTCCGGCCGTCAGGACGACGTTAGGGGAGGCCGAGCGCGGCAAGTTCCGGTTTGCAGGAGGTGTTGGTGCCCCCTCCCCCTCCCCTCCACTACCTCCCCCTGCTCGCCAGCTGCCACCTGTCAGCGCCGTAGCTTGGCAATCGATCTGGGGCCGTGTTTGCGCGCCATATTTCGCGGGTCACCCCCCGCGCCTTTGGGCAGGCTCACCGTACTCTAAACGTGATGTCGTGCCAAAGGCGACAGACCCATATAAAGACCTCTAGGGCACGCTGCAAGGCTGGAAGGACTTCATGCTTGCGTTCCATGCAATTCTGCATTTGATGTTTGGTTTTTTAGCGCCGGTGTGCACTAAAACCATGTCAATGAAATGTCCATGCCAAAACCATTCATTTAGGGAATAGTTCGCCGTCCTTTTAACAAGTTTAAACTGGTAGTTTAAACTGTGCACAAACTCGAGCACTAGCCAATTCAAGGGTACAGATGGTATGCCGATGTATGATTATGAAATATCGGGCGAATGCCAAAAAATATCAAACGACTGTTACACATCATCACGATCACTTGAAACATTTATATCCCTGTATCTTGGACAGATAAACAGATCGATGAACGTGAACCACAACACATGATCGCGATTAGTCTTAAGAGATATGTCAGTTGAGCCCGTATCAAAACACATAGTGAAACTATTCACCCCATTTACGGTTTCGCATAAACGTGGTGCTGCCCAGTAATGAAGAACTCCAGCTCCTCGAGTTTCAGCCACCAATAAGCATTGCTTAGTTGGGTGGACGGGTGGACAATGTGGAGATCCAGCCCAAGACTTCATGAAAATGTGGTCTACCTATGCCAAACCAATCTACGCCATTAATATCCTTCATAAATACGAGTGTGTTCTAAGAGGAGTAAGCCAATGGTATCTAGATCTAGAGTTTACGTTCTTCATAACTTAGCATGGTGTGCAGCCACACCTTAGCGAAACGTTACCCTGTCTAAAGAGCCGTTCGGTTACGCTCCATCCGCTTCCCATTCACACGTGAGGTAAATAATGAACGCTCCCTCACATTACTCACGTTGCTTGACACTGGTACGGCTATGGTTCTTACTCTTCTCTCAGCTTATTTTCAAATCTGATCAGGCAGTGCCACCACATACCCTTTTATTTCGTCTATATATAATGCGTCTATTTAGTAAATATTTTCCACACTACGTCATTGTTCTAACGTAACATGGAACATTTTTGTGACGTTTAGGCGCTGCCAAAGTAGCCGTCCGAAATTGTCATCACAACATTCACTTGTAGTACTTCAATCGCCCGAGAGGTGGCCGTGGCAGCGCCGAACCAAGTATCATTATGTGCTAGTGTTCTGGCCATTCCTCATGGTGTCTTGTATACTTACCTGAGCGGTTCAATTGTTTACTTGCATGTACATGCTCGGTTGTGGTGCTATTCTTAACCTATTCAATCACAAGCCTTAATTCTGTAATAACTACTATGTCCAACTTTTTGCATCATGTAGTACAAGACGTAATTCATGATTGAAACTTGCACAGCATGCACAACATTATTTGAGATCCAATTGACGGCCGTTCTACCTGGAAATCGTGCTCACCAACGTCTCTGATGAGCGGCTCGACGATTATATTGTTGGTCTTGAACGATGCACGGCCAATGGCTGGCAGACTTTGAATGACGTTTATATGCGTCATCTATGTCTGAATGATCTCGAAATAATCTACACACAATAGTCTGCACTTCTTGGTGGATATGGGTTAACTAGGTTTAGGTCTTCGAAAGAACAGGGCTGTGAACTGCACCGAATGATCTTAAAATTGCTATTTCAGTTCAAAACCTCATACAAGTG